ATTAATAAATTTTATTTAAAATTTTTGTATCCTTAAAACGTTATTGCAAGATTTTTACAATTTATAATTGTTGGGAATTATTAAATAATAGAAAAAATTTAATTTATAAAAGAAAATCTGATAAACTGCGTATTAAATTTATAAATCATTTCGACGAATTTTTACACAGAATTAATTTTAATATATATAAATAAAAACAATATAAACAGTTAATTACGATGTACAGTACTATACAAAGAATAGTTTCTTTGTTACGTAACATTTTAAAGTGACTATTCTAAGCGAAAAATTCAAAAATATTCAAAGTTAATTGATCAATTAGAAAGAAAGATTATTCAAGAAAATTTTCCAAGAATTATAACGTTAAATTAATCTTATGGATCCTTTTTTAAATGAATATACAGTATAATAAAGATTTTTCTATGCCCGAATCCGTTTAAAAGTATCTTACAAAATTAAAAATCCCAGAAAACAAACTCACTACTACTGAACTTTTATTTCAAAAATATAAATTTATTTTTATTGAAGGAAATTCTCATAATATCTTAACAATTTTTATGAGATTGAATCTAATTATAATAAATGAAAAGAGTAAAATTGTTGTTATCTTAATATTTAAATTATCATGAAATTAAATTCTATATTATCAATATTGATTTATTTATAATAGTTTCTTTAATTTTTCTGTGATTGCTGGTAATTAATCTTCTAAAAACAAGCGAAGACAACTGAAAGAATTTGAAACGATATGGTTTGTAAGAGTGTTGCGTTATGTCTTGATGTAAAAGCAATTGATAATCTGTTTAATTTAATTTTTGATAAGTCTATATTATTTCATATATAAGTTATGCGAATTGGGTAACTCGAAATGGGATTTATTACGTGCGACATGCAATTCATTCTGGTAGCACGAACTATATCAATTTGTGGTCGGGCAGAAGATCTTCGACTTCGAGCCCGGAAAATCCGGGATCGTGTCTCGAGATTGAATTTCTCCAAAGTTTCTCTTGGGATATTCGTCGGAGGACCAAAAAAACCTCATCAAGGATTTACCAACCACCGTTGGATATTGGTAAGGGTATTCGCTATACAATTATAAAACATTTTATGGGAGACTTAAAAGTAAATAAAATGATTCTAAACTCGGCTCGTAATTAGCGTAGCGCCTATTAACAATTAAGATCTTTAGCCGCAATGTCTGGTCAATAATAATTCTGTTTGTAGTAGGAAACTATTACTTCTCACTGTTTTATGTTTTAAGTTTTATCGATTAATCTATTAAGTATTCTAAAAGTAAACTAAATATTTACTCAATAAAAATATGAAATTAATCTTCGAGTATTAACGGAGATTTTAAAATAAATTCCACAAATAATAATTAAAAAGTTTTTTAATCTTATCCGAATGATAATACAGTAAAACCTCTGTAAACCGGATCGCACAGTACCGAATATCTTTTCCGCATAAGTAGATTTCCGTTTCATTCAGGTTCCGCTTTAGACAGGTTTTACTGCATTAATTATTTTGTGTGATTTTAAAAATTGAACTGGACAAAGCGTGGTTATGTTTGGCAACTGCTAGTTGACAACTGATTGTGAGAAATTGATGCTAAACACTAATCAGGGAAAAATTGCTCTGTCGAACAATTTATCGCATGCAAGTTGCCAGTCGAACAGTTCATCGCACATAAATTATTCGTCACATAATTGATAGTATGAAAATTAGTTGAACAATTAATCGCTATTAATCTCTCAACTCTAGCCTATGGCGCGATTTTTCCCAATTATTCTTATTATTGATAACTTCAATTATGAATGGTACATTGAAACGGATATACTTATTAATAATAGCCTAACGACATCATAAATAACTGTAGAATCTGTGGCAGTATGTAAAAATCTTAATTAATTCATTTTATTTTATTTTTGGTGTAGCTATTTTGAAGGTAATTACGAGAAGATATAAATATTCGAATTAATTTTCACTTATTTTAATAGAAAAAAAAATTTCTATCAGAACATATATCGGTTCATAAATATTATGAAATCATATCAAAGGCTCTGCTATGGATTGTTTATTATCTCATAAAAATATCTAGAGAGATATGAATTCAGTGCAAAGACATTTGAATATTTTGTCAAATATAAAACGAAATATAATTTTGCACTAATAAATTTATGACTTGTCTAATTGGTATCTTAATTATGAGTTAATTTATTATCACAGTTATCATTGGATTAATTAACAGAATTTCAAGGATCACATCAATTATTTACGTTATTATCAACAAAAGCAGATTTATAAAAGTATTTAAAAATAACAAATTAGTCTAACACTAATGTAAATATATGAATTTATATACGAAAGAGTCTTCTGCTTAAAGTTGCTTAAATGCGTAAAACATTTACTACTACTGTTAAATATTTTTGGCTTATTTCATTTTCTGAACACGTCCAAAAACTCCAAAATTTCTCCATAAAATCGTGTTAAATAATGGAACATAAAATATGTTTAACAATTTCAAGTAAAATCTGATACAAGAAAACATATTTTAGAAAGTTACAGGATTTATTATTAAAATAAAATTCAAAACAAAAGCGAAGTAAAATGAAAAAAAAATGCGATATAACATTATAATTAAAATTATTGTAAGTGTCTACTTTTCATATCGGTGAATTTATGCTAAAGAAAAAATTGAAATCAGTCTTTCCGGTCCGAGTTTTTCATTTGCTGAGAAAGATCAGTGCACCTGATCCCATTAATTATGGATCTGACGCTGACAAACCCCTTTTTTTCAACAGAATATCTTCAGAGTTCATCTTGCAGATTCGAAATAATTTTGCCTTATGTTTTTTTAAAGAAGATTCAATTTAGAGAAATGCCTATAATAAATTTAATTGATGTGGATGAAACTGAAGAAGGACATCCAGTACACTAATTCAAATTATATACAAAGTAATAGAATTTTAATAAGTTTTAGAAGGTAAACGAGGAGGTTAACAAGTGTTCCTAATGGATATTTTTGTTAAAGCAAAATGTACGTAACTAAAAAGTTACGTACATTTAGAATATAGAAATATAGCTTTAGAATATAGTAATAAAGCTATTTTGCGAAAATAAGTTATTAATCTATTTTACATCTATTTACCCTCAAGAAGACAGCAAAGAAAATATATAGGTCGTAACCTTTATACCTGTTTGTTAGCGTTAAATTATCATCTTGAAATGTTCCTCTAGTCTGAAATTTATTATTTTTTTTATTTGTAGTTTTAGGCCCTTTAGTTAAAATAGGCGAATAAATATTATAAAATGTAACTAAACGTGAAAAATAAAGAGAATCCCTCAATATAAAATAAGAAACATTGCATTAAATAGAAGTTTTGCTTTAATATTTATTTAATTATATAAGTTTTAGAACTATTGTAAAAATATTACAAAGTAAGCTTCATATAAATTATATATATTTTGTACAATTTAATAAAGTCTACTTTATTACTAATACATACATCGGCAAGTTACTCACACGTGTCAAAAACTTAAGGCGAACACAATTGCTAGCGGTGATTGCTAGAAAAAGTCATTTGTTGAGCCTGCCACGAAATTGTGAGTGCTGCACCGTAGTTCGAAATGGACCTATTCCATACTGGCAGGTCTCTCTATCTGAGTACTGGTAAGCACTTTCCATCCATTCTCCACCTACGTCCAACTGTTGTCTTTATCTTTTCTACCAAAGACTTACTTTTATTGTTTTGATTTGTAAAATCCTACAGATTGATGCGTATTACCCTATGTTAGATATCGAGTAATTCAGTTCCTGCCATATCTGTCTTCATTCCTTAAGTTTTGGACACGTATGTATATTTAAGTTATATGTAGGAACTAATAAAATTTTGTATAGTATTCTAAAGTCAACAAAGACACTATACTAAATCCAAAGATGTTTATGATTTAAAGTAATTTATGTTTTTATTTAATATGTTTAGTATTATCAGTATTAACAAAATATCTCATTTAAGTTCGAATTTTTGCTTAAATATCTATAAAAATATTTTAATCAAATTGACTAATATTAAAATTAATCATTAAAAGCTATTTTAAATCTAAAATAAAACAAAGATAAAATCCATATCGATAAAGATATTTGTGACTGTAAGCAAAAAAAATTGCTTCTTGGAAGAGTTTGCTGTAGGCTTATAATCATGTTCTAGGATATTAATCGTTCAGTAGTAATTTGTTCGTCGATCAAAATATTCGACTATCAGTTTTCGCAATCAGTTTATCAGCAAATAATATTTTCGTCATTCCAAACTCCAACTCTATATTTGTATAGGCCTATGTATCCTCATGAAATATATAAACTATTCTTAATTTGCAAACAGTTCATTATCATATCATTTAATTCTTAATTAAATTAAATATTATATATTATATCTTAAACAAGTATAATTAATATCCGAAATCTAAATATATTTCTATTAGCGGAAAATATTTCAAATTTAATTAAGTACTCGCACAATCACTTCAAATCGCGCAGGAATCGAAATATAAGTTTGGCATGAAAAATATAATTCTTAATAATTTTACAAACAATTAAAACATTATTTCCTACAAAATATTATGGAGTTATTTTTCAAATTCAATTTATTTTTGAGATAACGATTTCAATTGCCTCGAAAATAAATAAAAAAAAAAAAAAAGCGCGAAGCCGGAGAACGATTTAAATAATATTTCAAAATTTATTAAAATTAATTTGAAACATGGTAACAGTTTCTCGTTTAGTTGTAGTCGAAACGAAATGGTAAAAATATCAGTAGGACTTTAGGACTTAGATTTTTCTAGTAAGATTCGAGCCGATTGATAAGAATTTCCGAATTGTGAATGCAAATCTGTGCAGTCGTCGAATATGCTAAAAATAAAAAGTGTTTCCTTGTGGAAGTACGGTACGTCGACAAGATTCAAAGTTACAAATACAAATGAAAGATAATAAAGGATTGACTTACCAGATGAAGACTTTCAGTTCTATTTCCGCGATAAATCTGAAAAAGAAAACAGAGTAAATATTAATTAATTACGTACTGTACGTTATAAGATACATAAATATCGAATAAGTTAATGAAACATCTTTTATAGGCTACTCGTAAACAATTAGTGACTATTGGAAACGGAGGACCATTATACGTAATTATAGGATGTCCACCGTTTTCTAAACTGTAGTGCAAATACTCGAATAAGAACTTTTATCGCAATTCGCGGTTAAAGATACATCAGATGGAAAGCCTACGTCTCTCCTTACGGTTCAGAATTGTCCCACGCGACCTAACCATAATCTATTCGATCGAATTTCGACGCTAGGGATGGAGGAATGTCGAGAGGACGAAATGATCCGCTCCGGATTCCCATCGTCGGCCATTAGCAGTTAACATTCGGTGGCCATCAGGTCCTATTGACCCAGCTAATTTGGAGGAAGAGGGTCGACCGGACCATTTGTAGTGACCTCTTCCCGCTAACGACCCGAGATCGATATCGATCGGACCTTGCTACATCAGTCGCCACTGCACCTGAGGGACCGTCCGCGAGGTTCCAGGCTCGTCCGAAAACCGTGTAGTCGTATGATATTTGTTATAATAAAAACATCACGTCTTTAATTAACAATAATAATGATTGTAAATTAAAAAAGAGAAGAAGAAGAAAGGATAGAAGTGTATAGAGTTAACAAGATCAGAAACAAACATACCTAGACTACTACTAAATAATAAGGGTAATTCATGAGTAGTTACTTAACTCTAGCTTCTAAGAAATGAAAATTAGTTAGAGGAAAGCGTAAAAATTACGCTTTAAATTCGCTTTCATCCCAACGCATCCAGAGTTTATCGTAGCAATGGCGTTATTACGGGGAATTGTACCGACATCGGTTTCATTACCGCAGCGTAATTTACACGCAAACGAATGCCAACGTACAGTACGCTACTCCTTTAACATAATGGCATCGATTATGGTCGAGACGATAATCTGTAATAATAAACGTTGTATATAGACGAAAGTGATAACTGTGAATGAAATTCGGTGATTAACACGGGTCTATACACCTATTACTCTTCGTAATTATAATAACCTGGATATTATAATTACCAAGAAAAATATAGGTAATTATTAAGTACTTTAAAGACGAGTACTGTAATTAAGTAATATTTATATAAATTGTAAATTCATCCGACCTATTTACTAAAGTACGCAAGATACGAAGAATGTTAAGAATAATTTAGAAAACGCTCGGATGCATGCCTGAAAGAATACCAATTTTTGAATTTTATAACTAAATATAAATTAACTGTAAAATTTTAATAGAAATATCAATAATAATTTAATACATTTCATTTAATTTATGGGAAAATAAAGTTTTTAAAACATTTTTCCTTTACTTTATTATTGCATTTTATTATATTTTATATTTTGGGATCGTCTTCGAAAATTTTACCCGAGTTATGTCTAATTTTTATTTAAATAAATAATTTATTCTGTAACTTTCTTAGATTAATTTTTTATAGAAATATTTTTCATGTTATGAAATTTCATTTTCGGTTCCACTCACATGACCAAAAAGATCGAAAAATTTTAACGTAATTATTAAGTAAACGTAGGGAATCAAATTTCAAAAACTGAAATTGCAACAAGAGATAATAAGAAATCAGTTCCGAAATTAGTAGATTAATTTCCGGGTGTAACCTATTCAATCAGTTTTTTTTCTTTTTTTTTTACTACAAGCAAATCAACTTCTCCCTAGCTTACTAGTTGGATAGGAATCACAATAGTTAAGGCGAACAGAAGAAAATTCTTTAATTCATTATAAATAAATTTTCTTCACTACTTTTTCTCTTAACGATGATTCCGACGTAGTGAATTTTATTATATAAAAAAATTTCCTTTTCAACTTGAAGAAACAATTAAAAGCATCGTTTCTTGTCGGTGAAATGAGTTCTTGGCATTTAACACATTGAAACATGTTATCTACACATACAAATTAGAAACAAACATTTTTGTTTAAAAAAATTAATCATACTGGCAATATATTAGTTCGAAGTCTTTTTACTCTCAGAATTCTAGCTGATTGTATACAGTACATATGCTATAAACTTTTTTAATAGTTTATATAGTTTTATTATTACATTCAATGAAATACAATATAGGCTTACTACTGATATTGATATTAAGCGCCTGAAATAGTAGGTAATACTGCAATAGCCGGAAGCATTCTATTGAGCCGAACCATTACATTTTTTCTTATTAAACTAACGCAGGTTTTAAAGAAAATAGTACTCGACGACAGGGATATTGTTAGGGTCTACACTGATTAAAAACAATTCATATTGCAAGGTAAATAAAACGTGAGTTTTTTATTTCCCCAATCAAATGGGATATTAAAGAGATAGTCCAAAATAATACATGTAACAGAACAAACGGGTTGAATTACCACATGATATAAATAACTCGAATCTAAAATTCAGTATACATAGCAAAGTATACAGAATTGTTAGACATTTTCTTTTCTTAATATTATTATGGATAGAGGTGTTATTAAGAAATTAAAATAAAGAGAATATACGAAAGATTTAATTATTAATACGTAAATAACATTAGTTTACTTTCCTACAAATATATTCAGAGATTTCAAGTTGTTCTTTTCAGTAAGAAAATTTCTACTATACACATATATATTATTTAAGTTATGAATGCAGACTAATGTATCATTTCAATTAAAGTCTACTTTTCCATATTTACGAGTCACTTTTAAGTTCCCTCAGTAAAAACCATTATATTCAGCCGTTCGATTGCATTTTACGGAGATAAACGACTCATCAAAGTAAAAGTGTCGTTTTACAAAACTCTTCCATTTAGACTGAATTATTGTTTCTTCAGATATTTCCAAATGAATATAAATATAAACGTTAATTAAAATATATGTATAAATATTAAGGAACAGACATGAATGGAATTCATTACAAAGAAGAGGAAAAGTAATGGGATCACTTTTATAAAACATGTTAATGTTTAGATTAAGTCTACGAGCTTTAAAAAATCACAAGTATTTTGGGAATTAATTGCAAATAATTTTTCTCTATACTTTAGTAGTAAACTTGCTGTAAATACAATTGTCAATTAGTAGGTTTGATGAATTTGACACACCAAAAATATTTAATTTATTCTTTAACTAGATATTGGAAAATATTTAAAAAAAATAAGATGTCTTATATTAAAAAATCAAAAATTATATAATGTTTTTTAGTATAACTGCACCGAATATTTTAAAAGAAACTTTCGGAAGTTTTTGCATTTTAAAAACAATTTGCGCGATAAATGATTAGAATTAAGTTTAACTAAATGCATATTTTATAAGTTTTAAGATATACAAAATGATATTAGGCTAAAAGTATGAAAAATGAGGATAGATAATTCTTTACTAGGAATATTTTTAGAAAATTAGAATCGTTATAAAATATTTTATTCACGTTCTTATTTATGAATAATAGATCTTTACGCATCAACACTTGAAAATAAAATTATAAGTTTTGGAGAAGGAATGTCAGAATTATATAGCCTTTGCTGCGTGCTTATAATGTTAGTAAAAATTATAAAAATTAAATTTTTTTTTAATATTTTCCGAAAGAGAATTTTATAAGTAAGAATTTTTATAAGTATTAGGTTATTATCATCCTTTAATGCTGACTTACAATGTTTGAAAATTTATTTGCTTTCTAGTTAATAAAGTAATATTAAGCTTGAGAGTGGTTAGAATAACTCACGCATCATTGTGTTAGAATGCGTGTAGAATATTTCTACATTAGATTAACGGGATCTAAGATAAATCATATTAGTACAAACTCCCGCAAATTTGAAATTCTTCAAAATCTTCTCAGCCCAATTTAAAGAGGAATGCGGCATTGCTATGTATATTGGAGTTAATACAACGATGCTGGAATTGTAATATTAAGGGTGAATCACTAGTAAATTCGAAGTTTCCTGTTAAAATTTGAGACCACCAAATATGTACTGTATTACTGATTCCCAAAAGAATTCATTCTAAAAGTATTCAATCTGATCTTTAATTATCACCTTTGAGAACATTTTAATTAAATTAAATTTGGAAATGTGTATTATTATTTGACATCAACATAGAATTTAAAGATGACTTTAAAATTAATATTAGGGTCATTCTTTACTAGTTTAATTTGTTACAGTTACTAGTAAAGAACCACCAAAAGATTCGATTAATTAATTTTAGAAATATTAATTAATCTACAAAAAAACAGTTGGTCTTAAGCTAAAATATATGATTATACATGTAGTACATATCTGTAGTACAGGTTTCGGTTTTATTAAGGTTCCGTTTTGCACAGGTTTTACTGTATAGTAAAATTTAATTTACTCCTTTGCAATGTTAATATTTGTTCTATTAGACGATATAATTTAGCTGTTTTAATAGTGTTTAATATAGGTAATGAAATGCTATCAAAATAGTTAAATCCCATGTGCTGTAACTTAAACATCATTCTTCGATTGTTGTAATTTAAATAGTATTTTAATAATAGATAAAATTTTTTCTTAATGTTATAACACTCGACGACAGGGATATTGTTAGGGTCTACACTGATTAAAAACAATTCATATTGCAAGGTAAATAAAACGTGAGTTTTTTATTTCCCCAATCAAATGGGATATTAAAGAGATAGTCCAAAATAATACATGTAACAGAACAAACGGGTTGAATTACCACATGATATAAATAACTCGAATCTAAAATTCAGTATACATAGCAAAGTATACAGAATTGTTAGACATTTTCTTTTCTTAATATTATTATGGATAGAGGTGTTATTAAGAAATTAAAATAAAGAGAATATACGAAAGATTTAATTATTAATACATAAATAACATTAGTTTACTTTCCTACAAATATATTCAGAGATTTCAAGTTGTTCTTTTCAGTAAGAAAATTTCTACTATACACATATATATTATTTAAGTTATGAATGCAGACTAA